CGGTAGTGTTGATTCTAATGTTATGTTGTACCTCATTAGGTTTTGACTGTTGAGTTTTATGACGCACATTTTTGTCGTAGTTTGACTTCTGGAGCATTTTGTTTTGCTACGGAATATATTTGTAATAATTGGTTGCCGGTAATGCTTATCGTGGACAATATTGTGAACTCTATGACAAATCAACGAGACAGTGCGTTGCTGTGGATTTCTGTCCTCTAGCTGACAAATGTGTGCCAATGTTGATTGTCTAGGTAGTTGCCGCTAATGATTGCTGCTGTGTCTTTTGTCAGCATCGCTATCATCGATATACGAGTGTAAGTTTAGAATTTAATTTGCCTTACCGATGAGATTAGCAGTGACCTCCACTAGCACAATCATCCAGCCGATGACCCATGTGTAGGTGTCCATCTGGTCCTGTAGAGTTGGTAGCATCACGGCTAGGCCCTTCACTGCACTAATCCAAAAGAACCAATTGGTCCATACTCCCAAGACAGCCAGAAACCCCATACGGCGGTTTCCACTGTAAACCCCGGGTAATTGCTGCTGTTCCGCCATTTTAAGTTGGTGTAACGAGAATCGGTAATAAGCTGATCGGTAGGATACCTTTCCATATGTGCAGTGAAATATGAATAAGGGGACAAAAGATTCTTTTTGTAGAGGTCATTTTATACAAGTGTCCACCTATTTGACCTCGGCTTGCAAAGTACGTGAACCACAACCTCCCTGGGTTCTCCTGCAGCTGTTGGTGAATAGAAATAAGTATATTAATGAAGTTATTGATGGTGTTGTTTACACATGTTACCTCTCTGGGGGATTGAAGGGCACAACTGATTAGTACTTGCGAAGAAAGTATGAAAGTTTATGTCAGTACATAGGCTTACTGAAAACTATTCAGACTGAAAAAAGTTTCCTCCTTTTGAACGGACGGGAATAAAAAAATGGCGGGCTACACATTTTGCCGGTGGTTTGCGGCGGTATGCCTTTTCCCAATTATGGAGTTAATGACGAGCTTCTGTATCGTTGAAAAGAGTTATACTCCACTGTATCATCTAGCAAGGTCTGAGACTCTAAGAAAATCTGTCAGTGGGAAGCTATCGAGTCGTAGGCCTATAGCGACGGCCAAGTCTGCGGTGATGACGACGCTGCCGACGGGAGTAGGGGCCAACCAGACGAGGGAAGTGACTTTGCAATGCAAGACAGTGTGCAGCAAGTGAGTTCAGAAAGTTTACTTTAAAGGCACCTTTCCACATGTACGGCTGGGTGCGTTGCGTACACGTTGCGTTAATGTGTTTCACTTTTACTGACATAAAAATCGACTCCATTTACATAACACACATGTTGGTTGCATTCAGCCGTCAAAATCACCCCACAAATGATTTTGACGAATACAACGCTTGGCGCAAGTATTGACGCGCGTATTGAAAGACGCCTTTAAGGAGAATCAACGTGACTAAAGCCCGAGCCGCAAGCGAAGGCATTATCAGCGTTCCGTCTCCTGAGCCGGTTTTAAAAGTTAGTTTCAGACCAGCCAAGCACATTTTTATTCGCATTCGTAAATACCTATGTTAGTCAGAGAGTCAAAAGAAGTCAATATATGATGGACTTCGAACGATTCTAGGATTTCACCTTCATTTATCCGAATCCCTCCACGTCCATTTTGTTTTATAGTTGTCCGCAAGCATCTCCTTCTGTGGACTTGGAGAGCGCGTGGTGAGCCACGTGCACACAGACTCAGCCCCTTTCGGGCGCTGGGTGACGAGCGAACGAAGAAGCCTCCATTAGTTAGAAAAGAGTGCCCTCTCTTGGTCCAGCTCGACGTCCAAAACCAAACCTGTCAACATACCGTACTCCTTCCAACCTCAGGCAGGAGTACGGCAAGGTTGGCAGGTCTGCCCATAACATGTAAGAACAGCTACCAAGATTTGACGTTGTGCTTAGTGGAGGAAGCAATAATGTGTGAATTTGTAGTTACAACAGGTGTTTGGTGTCATTCGAGGGATCTTGATGATGATCACCATTGGTAGGAGGTTACCGTACCGACTGTCAATATCTTTCTGAAATACGTGGTTTGTTGTAAGGGCTGTAAAAAGTGGTATGGTTTTGTCAGTGTGAAGAGAGGCCTGTTTCTTCTCTTTTCGGTCTGACAACGGCATCTGCGTCCCTCTAGATTTGGCTGTCTTTGTGTACAGGGATGGTATTCCAACCGCAAACACGACTTTCACCTTACGTTTAATCGTAGGAAGATTTTTTATTACATCACCTCTGAACTTATACAGTACACAGTTTGGAAAATGGTACTTTTAGACATGCTAACTCATTTCAATCACGCAACACAAATATGTAAATTTACATAGAGGTTAGAATTAAAATTGGCAAAAACGGTGAGTGCACTCACTAGGAAATGAAAAACAGGTTACTCCATGCTTTATTCTATTTGGATATCAATATCGATCATGAAAAGCATTCTAGATAGAGTCCAATGTGCCACTTAGTATTCAGAAACCATGCAAGTTCTTTTTCTTTTCGTGTTCGCCCGGAAATCTCAACGAACCTACAAAAAATTGCCAATTATTTACGCAGATAATTTTTTGGAATTAAAATACTGAATTCTAAATCACAATTATTATTTTTCAATATCACAATGCACGGCACTTTACTTCACCAAATTCAGCATGAAACGTTCTTATGTATTTATATATTTACACGATTCAACTATGTCAACCGTGGAGAATTTAATAACATTTCAAGACCACTAATATTTCTCTCATTCTCCCTGCTGTTCAACTTAATTTGGTCTGTGATAGGATGAAACACACAGAACGATGAAAAGACTCATTTGCCAAGCGGATAATACAAATGAAACTACAACCAGATGGTTTTTCTTTCTGTTCCATTTTGCACTCAGTGCAAGCAGACAGTACATTTTAAACACTGTTCAAAATCTTTTAATCCGTTTTAACGACAATATTGTTAAAATATCATAGGATTGTAATACCAGAGTATATTTCATGGCTTCGGCTTACCTTCCTCAGGGAACGCACACCCTAGCATACTCGTGCCTTTCGCGAAATTTCATGCTGCATTTTTTCAGGGAATAAGTTTGGCTAAGTTTCCAGTGTTGCCAGTAGAGGCCGTGTCTGTTCTCAACCGTAGGCCCTGGATAATATAAGCCGTTCAAATTAGAATGTCCACATCTGTCAAACCACCAGGCTCCCTTTAGCTTTTCGGCACAGTTAGAAGATGGATCCGCGTCATTGTCACGATCCTTTGTCGTAAACGGGTCTCCCAAGCTAAACGGAAGTGCATTACCGCCAGGGCTGTCGGAATCAAATTTCACCCATTTTATATTGAACTCACCAGGGGATATTTGGAAATCTGAGTACTTTGACCAAGCCGTGTTGTTCTCCCAGTCCCCTAAATCAACTCGTAGCTCCCATGTTTCATGCGAATCATCAGATGTCAGTTTCGCCAAGTTGTCATTGCCCAACCAGAACTCACCGGACAGATCGCCAAAGCCAGACTGGTACTCGGTCCAGTTACGGTAGAAGTCCACGCTGCCGTCTTGTCGCCTCTGGAACACGATCCAACCCCCGCCATCAGTTTCCATGTCACAGTAGACACGGAGACCGTCAGCACCGAATCCTTCTGGGTAGATGGTGTAAATGCCGCTGGAATGATGACCAGCGTCCAAGAACATCTTGCAGCTTCTGTAGCGATTGAGGGAGATGTCAGTCAGTGAGTAGAGGGGTGTGTCCCTCTCAGTATCAAAGTACACACTCATTCTGGTAGCATTGAAGTCATCAGGCCGCTCTTGTCTGTCTCTTGTAGCAAAGTTCAACTCACACATTTTGTTGCAGTCATTGAAGTTAAAAGACTTGCAACGTTCATCTATGCGACAGTCCCGTCCACAGATGATACGAGAGCGTACAGGTCTACGCGCGTACGCAAACCCCTGCAGTGCGCGATTTTCCGCGGCGTACATGATTTGCTGACGCGGACGGTATTGATGCTGTCCGTTGACAGAAATCATCACTCCCGACAATGTCATCAGTTCAAGTATGAAGCTAACGGTCAGTGTTGGCATTGTGGAAGTTACCTCAGACTTTCACTAACTCTGTACAGATGATTATGTCGTTACTGCCTTGCGTCTCGAATGGAGCTTGTAGCGCGGACGTCGCAACCTATATTCTGGCCCGCTCGCCCCTTTCTCCAGGTACCTTTCTTAGCAATTCGTTTAGTACATGTAATTTGCAGCTAAAGGGTTCACGAGCCGCTCCGGTTCAACCTTGTGCTAACAGCCTCGCGTGTTAATTCACTCACAGCACACTCGGCCACCAAGTCATCAGGGGTGTCTATGGAAGCTATCCGACCGTACCTTACTGCATCATTTAATTTCCAGGCAGCATTAACTTCGACAATGAAAAGGCTCTAATTGCTACAACGGCCCAGGCTAACTCCATTTTCAAACTACCTATAAGGTCAAAATGACAGTGTTTTGGAGTTGATGGATGCGGAATACGATTCTTGGCTTTAGTTTAAATACCCGTTTCCAGGTAGCACTAGCCATTACGATAAAACAGGACAGTTTCGTTAGAACTGGTGCCCTGAAATAAACCACAGCGACGTTTTTGCTTGAGTACTGAGCGAATGGTCATTATAATCAATGAGACATGACGAGGTGAACTCTAGACAAGGATGGAGTCATCTTAATTATGCAGTGACACGAAAAGGCATGCTAAACTACTTTGCGACTTGTATTCATCATAGCATAAAAGCAAGAATGAGATTAGACACTAACTTCGTGACAATGCTAATCGACAGTCATTTACGCATGCTGGAGGCTACCTACATTCACTTGACGGAACTAGCTCTCTGTCATCAGAAAGAATTCGTCTGCAACCTCCATTTCACACAGTAATTTTTGTCCCTTTGAGCCATCATTGCTTAATATTTGAACGTGAACGTGACTTATAAGCACTGTCGATAAGCATCTAATATCAGTCTTGCGTTTATGCTCTCATGATTGCGAAAAGTACTTTAGCATGCCTTTTTCGTTACTGAACTCTATTTCTAATTATCTACCTATTCTTAATTATGCTTTAATGCTTCTTAAGCGTATGAAATGATGTCTGCATTCTGTATCTTGAGCCTGTCTACTTAGTTGCCAGCAAAATGAACCTTGAGCTGGACCAAGAGAGGGCGCAATTTCCTTAGCAACAGAGGCTCCTTTGGTCAGAACTGAACTAATTCGGTGGTTCACAAATGACTAGGAAATTCATGCGTTGCGGTTGAATTGCTACCAACAAACTGACCGCTCCCGACCCAGATGGCTCTTTTTAACCGATGAGGGGGTCCTTCCGCTCGAGACGGATACCCACAGTGTCTGTGCGTGAAGCGTTGACCAGCATCCAAGTAGCGATTGATATCTATCAAGGTAAAGACAAATAAAATGGCAATCTCAGATTAACCATTCAGTCCAGTGAAGCGCCCTCTGGACTTGCATTGCTCGTCCATGCCGCATTCTCGCCCACAGAGGACGCGTGAGTGCATGGCAATGGTTGCAAATGTGAACTCTACTAGAGCGCAATTTTCTGCTCCATGAAACGTTCGTTGGTGATGACTGTGACGATTTTCGAATCCGTTGACAACAATGACTATTCCTGTGAAAACGACAAATCGGAAAACCCCCGAAATTCCAATATATGGTATGCCATACTTTATGATCTTGGGGTCTTTAACCGGTATGAATGACTGAAGAGTTTATCGCTGAGATCACTCTCTAACGCATTGATTGACGTACAAAAGTTCTGAATATTAATGCGATATCCACGGTATTCAGAAAAGAACAGACATCGGGCAATTCTGTCCATATATGGAGATCATTTGAGCAGCTCACGTCGTCAATCCGAATTAAGATAATTGTCAAAGTGTCTCCCACCTCACTGTGTGTCTCTTTCTAGAATTTGTCCTTCCTGTTGATTGGTCAAATAAAGGCTTGCCATAGATGCGTCTGCCTCACTTGATTGGGTAATTCATACAAACGCACCTATCTTATTGGATTACACAGATACTTGCGCAATACATGGTGTAATTTCAAATTGGCAGCATTGGCATATATATGCCTACAAGAAATCCCAAGGTATTACAAAAATTTGTTTCTGTTTGCGTATTTCGCAATTTACTAATGGGAGGCGATCGCGCATATCATTTCTGTTGAATAAAGCATCCATCCAGTAGTTTTCGCCGGGAAAAAAATACATCCTTCTTTTCAGCTCCTCTTACTTAGAAGGAAAAGCTATATTTCAAGGTTTTTTGTATTGCTGGATTAGTTTTAATCAAAGCTGCGTAGGCGAACAATTCCTACACACGACAGATTATGGCAAACTGGCGGAATGTGAAGTGTACTACATAGTGTGGTCAGTATAGTCCAACTGTGGTGGTGGTGTTGTTGTTTTTGTTTTAATGGCGCTTTCAGCAACTCAGGCTATATGTGTAGTACACTTCACATTCCGCCAGTTTGCCATAATCTGTCGTGTGTAGGAATTGTTCGCCTACGCAGCTTTGCAAGCCGTCTTTTAACTTCAACGACTGCCACAAAATGTGCGAGTTGAACCTTGCCACAAGGCGAGAGCATCCTGGAAACTTCACTGCAACTCCTGGGAGTGTGTACTTTGATGCAGACGAGGACACACCTCTCTCCTCTCTGACTGATATCTCAATCGCTACAGATGCTACAAGATGCTCTTAGATGCAGTCCATCATTCTAAAGGTATCTACCCATCTATGCAGATGCTGGTCTACTGTGACATCGAAACTGATGGCAGGGGCTGGATCGTGTTCCAGAGACGACAAGACGGCAGCGTGGACTTCTACCATAACTGGACGAGTTCACCTCGTCATGGCTCATTGATTATAATGACCATTCGCTCAGTACTCAAGCAAAAACGTCGTTGTGGTTTATTTCAGGGCACCAGTTCTAGAAGGTAGTTTGAAAATGGAGTTAGCCCGGGCAGTTGTAGCAATTACAACCTTTTCATTGTCGAAGTTAATGCTTCCTGGAAATTAAATGATGCAGTAAGGTACTGTCGGGTAGCTTCCATAGACACCGAGTGGCCGAGTGTGCTGTGGGTGAATTGACAAGCGAGGCTGTTAGCACAAGGTTGAACTGGAGCGACTCGTGAACCCTTTAGCTGCAAATTACATGTGCTAAACAAA